TGAAAAACTATGCAGTCGAAACAATCAATGTTCTGGCTTAAATCGTGCGCGCAAGATCCGATTTATTGCAATTGAGTAAAAGGGCTTTGAACAGTCAACCTATCCTGGGGAAAAAATAACAACATGTCTCCTTTGGCCAAACGGTTTTGAATTTCAAAACCCAGCTAGCCACCCAAATAAAGGGTTTGGGCCATAGAATTCAAAATACTGAAAACCGAAAATCTGTTTTTTTCTTTACAGAGAATGACGAGTCCCCCCCTTAGCATGTTGCGAAGAAAAAAAACCCTGGCCCCCGCCCCCCCAACGCGTCGTACACATTCGCCAAGGTTGCGTGGACCAGCAAGACGTAGATAAGCAGCGTGTAGTAGGCAGTCACAGAGCCCACCACGCTGCACGACGCCCCAGCGGGGCGCAAAGACGTAGTACACGTAAGTGCCCAACTGCATTTCCTGGGCCACCAAACAACCGCATAAAAAAAGCCTCCGAAACCCACACTGACTCTGCCGCGCAACATGCACTAAGAAAACCTTACAAACTATTTCGGGCCCTCACAAAGCAAATCAGTTTGTTAAAAACAAGAAATTTTGAGCATACAATAGCTTACGAAGAAAATACTTCGAATTTACGAACTATTTCTCCGTATAACAAAGAAAATTAGTTTGTACGTATGTATGCCAAAATACTACGTAAGGTTTTAAGGGTGCACGTTCAAACGAACGTGTCGTTAGATTTGTTGAAAAACAGTCTGGCAGTGCGGCGTTACAAAATTCCACATGGGGAAAAAATTATCAAGCTTTTTTTAAAAAAACCAGTTTTTCCCAAAGCGGGGGATAAAGGGTAGCCGCTGCGCTGCGTTTTGATCTGAAAAAAATTTTAAAAGCGTCACTCTACAAAAAATGCCCCGTCAACGCCGTTAATTTATTCCCAATTTTTGCTGTTAGCAACACGGGTTTCCCTGTTAGGTTTTGTTCTGGGTTTACAGTGTTCACTGTGTTTGGGCCCACAGTAAAGGGGCCTAAATTTGGAGCCTGGAGGCAGTCCTTCGGTGCTCAGCGGCGTCAAACTCACAGGGTTTACTGGGTACCAGATCAAAAGTGAACACCGCGAACAAGATCACAGTGAATCCCGTGAGCAGTTCTCAGTAAACGCTGTGAATTGACCTACAGTGAAAACTGGTAATAAATTAACGGCATTTACAGGACATTTTTGGTAGAGTGTAGACGGCGACAAAGTGAAGCGGCACAGTGGTGAACGAAAAAAGAAGTTTGTTTGCAGTGTAATTGTTTCATGCAACTTTGGGTTTAGTCAAACAAATCTTGGGTTTAAAATTGAACGACAGACTACTCCACTGAATCTTTAAGAAGTTTGAACCCAAACCCATCGAGCGCCTGATGGGTAGGCAACCCATCTGGCAGCCGCGCTGGCCTGGCGGCGTCTAACGCGGCGTCGTCGGTGCGCAGGCTTGGGCACGTGTTAAACATGGCTAGTGTTGGTTTTTTTCCGGAAAAATTAAATCAGCCGGAAAAAACATACTTTTCCATGTTTTTTTTCGGAAAAAAAAAGGAAAAAAATGTGAAAAATTAAAAAAAGCGTTATTTAGTTTAAAAAATTACTGGATAATAGTTTTCGTGTCTAAAAGCTCGGATTTGGTAAATATGACGATGTATGTCACGCCTATCTACTTTGCGTGGGCCCCGAAGGCATTTTCACGTTTGGGGTTGTTTGAAGTTCCCGCTTGATGGGCACGTCTCTCCCGATTGGTCTATACTGGGGGTAAGTGCCGTTTAGTCTGGGCGCGTAACGTGGCTGAGCGATGCGAATTGACATAGTTTGTGCACTTTGGATAGTGTTGGGAAGTTGGAAAAAAAAAAATGGAAAAATACGTTTTTTTCCTATGTTTTTTTCGTTTTTTTCCATGGCTATACTTTTCGTTTTTTTTCCCAAATTTTTAAAATTTTCTCACTTTTGAGTGTTTTAACTAGGTTTTTTTCTTTTTGTGATTGGGAAGTATTTAAATGAGAAACATCTTAATTTATCTAATACCCCAATTACCTCAAAAGCCCCTTAAGAGTGTATGGTGTGGGAACTAAAATTCTGAAAAATACGAATAAGGTTTTCAAGTATTGATGCAACAGTATTGATGCAATTTTAAATCGAGTTTGACATTGATCCCAGCAGTTTTTGGTGTTCTGATAGCGAAAATCACTTCCATTTCTACCCCTGGTCTAAAGTTCACTGAATATGAGCCCGTAAGATGATATTCGTCTACTCAAGCAAAGTCCAAAGTGCACAAAACTATGTCAATTCGCATCGCTCAGCCACGTTACGCGCCCAGACTAAACGGCACGTACCCCAGTATAGACCAATCGGGAGAGACGTGTCATCAAGCGGAACTTCAAACAACCCAAACGTGAAAATGCCTTCAGGGCCCACGCAAAGTAGATATTGCGTGACATACATCGTCATATTTACCAAATCCGAGCTTTTAGACACGATAATCTATTATCCAGTAATATTTTTAAACTAAATAACGCTTTTTTTAATTTTTCACACTTTTCCATTTTTTCCGAAAAAAAACATGGAAAAGTATGTTTTTTCCGGCTGATTTAATTTTTCCGGAAAAAAACCAACACTAACTTTGGACTTTGCTTGAGTAGACGAAATATCCATCTTACGGGCTCATATTCAGTGAACTTTAGACCGGGGGGTAGAAATGGAAGTGTTTTCCCGCTATCAAAAACCCCAAAAAAACTGCTGGGATCAATGTAAAACTCGATTTAAAAATTGCACAATACTTGTTGCATCAATACTTAAAACCTTATTCGTATTTTTCAAAATTTTTAGTTCCCACACCATACACTCTTAAGGGGTTTTTGAGGTAATTGGGGTATTAGATAAATTAAGATGTTCTCATTTAAATACTTCCCAATCACAA